ACTTCATAGATATGGTAAAATATTGTGCAATGTGTAGCTTAGTTTGGGAATCTAGACAGTAAATTTTAGTCAGACTTACTTTTGATATTTACAACAAGAAGCAGAAAATAATACAACTTATGAGTCTGATTTAATGGTTTCTTAGATAAGACAATTGATAGGATAGCATTGTAGTTCTTTGTACTTAGAACTGAAGTAATCATCCTCAAAATTTGATTGCATGTCAGATACTTATGTCCAGGCAGTTTTAAGCAAGAAAGCCATATTCCAAATATATTTTCTGGCACTGTTACAGAGGCAAGAAGTGCTAGCTGCAATTTTCAGAATAATGACATACAAAACCGTCATGCAGTTGCCACTTCAGAGGCATGAAGAGACACGGCATGATGAGTAACTGTTTCCAGACAGCTCTAGATTGAAGTAGAACACCTATTTAGGTACAAATTTTTGGAGTTTCTTCACATTATGTCTGTCTCATTTTCAGTGTCAGGACTTTGTACATTTTGCGTATGGTAAGCACTGTTCATACTATTGAAGATAAGGGAATGTAGCTGTCTGTATATGGAGTTTTTTCAGATATCTGTAATAAAAATGTAGTGTTAGAAATCTCCTAATGTTTTCGTCTGTCTTTCCTATATTAAGGCCTCCTGGAGTCACTGAAGATCACTATGTGCCCTGAGAGTTGCTTTTTGATCAGGCATGAGCCTAGCAGACAGAACTACACTTCTTAGTGATAACCGTGGTGGCTTTGGCAAATTAACTGTTTCAAATATTGAGGATCTGAGGTGTAATGAAAAAATAATTTTCTATGTATTTTGGGCTTTAGATAAACACCAACTTCTAGTGACTTTCTAGAATGGTTGTTTAAATGCCTTGCTTCAGAATACAGTTATTTACTTTAAGATCCTTAATTGAGAGTTACTTTTCGAACTTCATTATGTGAAATTTATTAGGACATTGGTCATGAATGGAGCACAGCCCAACAACACTATTTTAGTGTAAGTACTATTATATTGAGAGAAAAAGGGTACTGCTTTTAGCAAGAAGCAGAGCACTCTGTTTGTTCTGAAAATTGCTAATGGAAGTCTTCACACGCTTGAACAACCTAAGTGTGAAGTGTCTTCTTAAGTGTTTCTTTAGGTTACCAATATGACATACTCTGAATTGATCAAAGTATTTATGTATCCAAAACTCTGTCTACATCTTATTCTAGCAGGTCTAATAAAAGATCATACCTTTTTTTTTTAACTTTCTTTGTACTGTGAGCCTAGCAAACACTAAAATCTTGTAACCACTGCTCATGAAGATTTTGCCTGCATTTTTGTAACATATTAATTTAAACGTCTTTGAATATACTGTGAAGGGTTCAAAATCATATCTATAAACTAGATTTTGTAATACTTCTATTGATACATCATTCTTTTTCCAGATACTTAAGAGAATCTATGGTCCTACACTATACAAACAATCCAAAGTTTTCACCATGAACTGCTTACATCTGTGGGTATTAGTCATGTTAAAGATTAAATGTTTAGTAATAGGATTTTGAAAGAAATAACAATGAAGCAGTTTATGTAAGAAAAGACCAGTCTGGGAGCTGAATGATTGAATATTTTACTTGTGTTTTGAGCCACGATTTTTTAGTGTAACTATTTTCTTTTAGTGATTCCATTGGTCTTGGAAAAAACATCAAGACCTATGCAAAATCACATGTAATAACTGTCTGAGTTTTCTCATCTGTTTCTTTGCACAATTTCTTTAGCACTTGAAAATTTTAAGAAAGCAGGATATTTTTAAATTTATATTCATTATTCTCTACATTTTTAATTAGCCTTTTATATGAAGTTATATTCAAAGTAAAATTGCACTTTTGCTTATTTGTAGTATTAACTTTAGAATTATTTTAACATTTGACATTGGGAGACTAAGTTTTTTACTGATTAAATGATATTGCATAGATGTATATGAAAAATGTGAAAGCTTGAGCAGTAAAAAAATGTGAAAAAGCTGTAAGTATTTTAGTTACTTTTAGTGATGAGTCTCCTTAGTACTGTTATTTATTGCAGAAAGTTTGACATTGCATGACAAACTTCAGCGGTACAGTTTAATGTTCTGCTGGTCATGTGTTTTTAGCTATAGACGTAGAACGGGAAGGCAGCTGTTTGATGGAGCACATGGAGCATGAGCTGAGGCAGTTTAGAAGAAAGGACAGAATTTATGAGGGCTCTAGATCATCCTAGGTTAACTCTATTGATTTTGGCCCAGGATGCTACCTGCGAAGTGTCAGGGTAATGGGTTTGCATTTTATGGATGAGAATTAAAAGAGGTTTTATATGTGTATTTGTGCTTGTGCCTAAGAATATGGAACTAGGCAGTACAGAAATAAGTACAAGTTGCTTTGTGGACTTTAATTGCAACATTATGTTGCTTAGTGTTGCTGCAAACAGGCAGAGTACGTTGGTGAAAGTTGTTAAAGAGGTGAAAATTAAGGACAATTTTGCCTGCAATCATATCTTAAGGACAAGTGACACTGTTGCTGCCATGGACCAGCAAAACATTATATTTCTGTGGCCCTCTGTCTCTGCTGAGTTTGATTAACTGTGGTGACTCTCTGCCTTGAACAAGTCTCACTGGAAGCACATCTGTTAACTGGAGTAAAACCAAAGAGTTCTTCAGTCTGTTGAAATGGGATATCTCTGTAAAAATCTTGTGTTTTGCAGACCAAAGTACATTTTACCCAAAGGCTTCCAGTAATTGTTCAGTTACACCCCAAGCCTTACAAAGAAAGTAAACCTAAGAAAAGTGAAACCAAGGCATAGCTACCTGCTTTTCTGAAAAAAACAAAACCAAAACCAACCAAACATAAAAGCACCCCACTTTACTTATCACTGTTCAGAAGTGTACCTGTATTTTTTTAATTACTTTGTGTTCTGCATATCCCTAACTTCCTGCGGTCTTAATAGTGTATTTTGTTTTCCTTTGGTTTCTCCAAGAGGCTGTTTTTCAATATACTCACAGAAAGGAACTGTATTTACTCAAAGGTGGAAATTGCAGAATTATATCAATTGATTCTGCTAGTGTATATGTAAAAAGTGTGTAAATTTCTTTGATATTAAATGCACAGTACATTTTTCTTGTATTTCAGAGCAAAATTAGATATTGATTTTTTGATGAGAAATCTATTCTAAAAATATAGAACCTCACTAATATATTATGATTCTTGTATTTTGTGTTTTTAAATAATATTATATTTATTGTAGTTTTTAAATTTAAAAACTCTCACTTTTTCAAGCAAAATATCTTCATAATTTATCTTGTAAAGGGTTTTTATATCTTCATTCATTAGCTTAAAGCAAAACATCACCCCTTAAGAAGGTATTTTTCAAACAATTATCCACTTAACATAAAAAAAACTATCAACACAATTTCTTGGGAGTTGACTGATCATTTCAGGGATTCAGCAAGAATTTACAGGTTTGTTCACTTGTAATCTCCCTTTTTCTGGTGGCTCTGTTTCAAGTTTTAAGCTTGTCTGACCAGGTTTAGGCAGCTCATGTACAAAAGGAGCTGGGGAGTTCTGGTTACATGGCTGGTGAGACAGTGCTCTATCTTTCATTCAGCCAAGGTGATCTGAGTCTTTCTGTCTTGGTTTTTGCTCTGTATGGGATCAAAAGGAAAAACAAAACTGAGATTTTGGTGATGTAAAGTAAAATTAATGACATGAACAATGTGAGGGAAGGGTCTTGAGGAGAACAGTAACAACAGGAATGCTCCTTGTTATGAAGGGGGTTTGCCCCCTTAGTTTTTTACAGGGTTTGTAGTTTGGGATTGTTTTCAGTTCTATCCTTGAAAAATTTATGTTCATGTGTTTTTTTCTGCCTGCATATAAGTGTTTGCCACATTTCTCTGAAACCAAGACCTGGACAGAGTGATTCATGGCTTTTGTCTCATTCTGTTTAGATTACTGCAAAGTATTGTACTGGGATTAGCCTTGAAACCTCCTGTTGATCTCATACTGTTCCTTTTTACTTTTCCCTTTGCTTCCTATTACTTTTCATCTTAATACAAAGCTTTCCTTCACATATACTGGTAGACTAAGACCACAGAAGAAAGCCTTATTTAAAGTAGAAAAGGCAGGTAACTTTCACATACAGCTCTAGTGAAGAAGACCTAAATTTGAAAGCTTTCTATGAAAGCCAAAGTTTGATGAACTTTCTGTGAGGGCAGCTCACTAGTTATGTGCAGGAAGTTGCAGGGATGGAAAGGAAGTAGTCCTCCTGGCAATTTACTTAATGGTGTGAAATACCAGTTGTTAAAATTTGAAGACAGGCACTTGCATGTCTGGAATTCATAAATAAACCAAGAAAATCAATAAGTGACTTTGGCAACTGCCACCCTTTTGACTCCTTTGTCAGGGGCCAAGAACTGAATGAACAAGAAAATTAAAAGTGTTTTCCCTGAAGGAAAAGGAAAAGTACATTTTCCTCCAGGCTGAAGTTGAGGTGACAGAGAGTACAGGAAAGCTTTTATTGCTGTGTGCTCTGCTGGGTTCACTGTGGCTGGATGCTGGGTGGCTACCAAAGCTGCTCTGTTGTTCCCTTCCTCAGCTGGGCAGGGGAGAGAAAACATAGTGAAAGGCTCATGGGCCCAGATAAGGACAAGGGGAGATCACTGTGCAGTTACTGTCACATGCAAAACAGACTCAGCTTGGGGAAATCGATTTAACTTACTGCCAGTCAGAATCAGTAGTAGTAATGATAAATAAAACCAAATCTTAAAACCCACCCTTCCCTTCTTACTGGGCTCAACTTCACTCCTGATTTTCTCTATCTTCTCCCTCAGAGCAGCATAGGGATGGGAAATGGGGCCTGCAGTCAGTTTATCACATGTTGTCTCTGCCATTCCTTCTTTTTCAGGGGAGAACTCCTCACAGTCTTCCCCTGCTCCAGTGTGGAACAGATCATCTTGAGTGCCATCATGCAGTGCGTGTAGGAAACCAGGGGACCAGGCCCAGCCAGCCTGGGTTTAGGAAAGGCAGGTCCTGCATGACTAACCTGATCTCCTTTAATGAGCAGGTGACCTGCCTAGTGGATGAAGGGATTGTGGATGTAGTGTACCTGGAGTTCAGTAAAGCTACTGACACTGACTTCCTCTGGAGAAAATGGCAGCCCATGGCTTAGACAAGTAACTCTTATCTGGGTTAAAACTGGCAGGATGGCCAGGCTCAGAGGGTTGTGGTGAGTGGAGTTACATCCACCTGATGGCTGGTCACTAGTTGTGTTCTTCAGGACTTGGTATTGGGGCCAGTCCTGTTTAATGTCTTTATCTGGTTGAGGAGATTGAGTGCACCCTCAGTAGGTTTACAGCCAGTGCCAAGGTGGGTGGATGTGCTGATCTGCTGGAGGGCAGGAAGGATCTGGACAGCCTGGATCAATGGGCCTACTGTACGAGGCTCAGCATGAGGCCAGGAGCTGGGTCCTTCTCCTGGGTCACAACAACCCCAGGCTGTGCTACAGGCTGGGGTCAGAGTGGCTGAAAGGCAACCCAGGGAAAAGGACCCAGAGCTGCTGGGTGATATTGGCTGAGTATGAGCCAGTGTGTGTGCCCAGGTGGCCAAGAAGGCCAATGCCATCCTGGCCTATGTCAGCAATAATGTGGCCAGCAGGACCAGGGCAGTGATTGTCCCCCTGTGCTTGGCACTGGTGAGGCCACACCACAAATCCTGTGTCCAGTTCTGGGACCCGCACTACAAGGAGGACTTTGAGGTGCTGGAGTGAGTCCAGAGAAGGGCAACAGAGCTGATGAAGGGTCTGGAGCACAAGTCCTGTGAGGAGCAGCTGAGGGACCTGAGGCTCAAGGGTGATCTTATCAGTCTCTACAACTGCCTGAAAGGAGTGTGCAGCCAGGTGGGGGTCGGGCTCTCCTCCAGGGCAATCAGCGACAGGAGAACAGGAGGTGGTGTGAAGCTGTACAATTGGAGGTTCAGGCTGGACACCAGAAAGAATTTCTTCATAGAAAGGGTGGTTAAGCATTGGAGTGAGCTGCCCAGGGAAGTGGTTGAGTTGTTCTCCCTGGAAGTGTACAAGAAAGGATTGGATGTGGCACTTGGTGCTAGGGTTTAATTGACAGGGTGACATTTGGTGTAAGGTTGGACTCAGGGATCTTGAAGGTCTTTTCCAACCTTAATGACTTTATGATTCCATGATTATCCCAGCAGCACTAACACTGACACTGATGGGCTTGGGCTTGGCCTTGGCGAGTGATCGGTCCATCTTGGAAGGCAGGTGGCACTGGCTTTGTTGGACATGGGGAAGACTTTGAGTCACTCTGTAGAACCCCAGGTACCAAAACCTTGCCACACAAACCCAATGCAGTTCCACAGTTTGTCAGAATCTAGCAGTCTGAAAGTTTTTTTATACTGTGAAGTTAAGCCTTTCTTATTTGGTAGCAAAATATCCTTGGGAGAGCTGCATGCCAGGGCTGTCAGCATCCTATTTTTATTAGTTCCCAAAATATGTTTTGTTTTATGTTGTAAGCCTGAAAAGTACTACTAGAGTTTGTTCTCTAGAAGACTGTTCAAATCATGCCCTATAGTAATATGGTTCTTCCCAGCTGAATTCATAGCAGTTTATAAAGTTAGAATATATGATTTTTTATCTCATACTGTATTTTTCATTAAGGCTTTCAACTTTACTTACCTTCCAGATGTTTTAATCATGGTGGTTATATGGATATATATTACAGCTATTTCTGACTTATTACATACAGTGTATCTAGGACATCAGAGTTCAATCTGTAATATTTTAGGAACATGTGCAGTTTTTCTTTTTCCTCATTCCAGGCATTAGAATCATATTCTTAATAAAATAAAATCTTAGCCAAATCAAGCTGGGTTAAGGAGCCATTCTTAACATAATAAATTGCATTTCTGTTTAAAGTGAGCTTCCTGGAAAATTATAAGGAAAATGCAGTGTTGTTCAATACAAATGTCAAGCTCAGTTCATAAAAGGTTGCTGAGAGGACAAACTGCAGTCAGTGTTCAGAGATAGAAAGCACTGTCCAGTCATGACAAAGGGTATGTCTGACTGTCTCTGGGGGTGTGGAGACAGCACTGAAGCCGTGCTGTTGTTTCCCAGGAGGTGATTTGGTTGTCTCAACACTGCTGGTATCTCCAGCATTGAGATCTCCAATGGTACTACTCCTTGGCTTTAGGAGTGAGGAGTGGGTGGGAAGCTGGTTGCTGTTGTAAACCCAATTTTGTAGCTGTGGGCAGCAGGGAGTGGAGGGAGCCTGGAAGCAGGTGTTGGATTCTGGAGCTGACCAACAGGGAGCTCCCTTGAGCCCATCCTGGGTATTTCCTCAAGTGGAAGTGGTTCCCAGACCCTTCATATTTCATTGCTGGACACAGACAGCAGTGGCAAAGGCTTCAGCTCAGTCAGCAATTCTGACTGGGTTTTCAGACCTGTGCAGCAGTGTGCTACTTCAGATCCCTCCTGTATAATTTTTGAGATCACTATCTTTCCTTCGGGGATCTTTCATTTCTCAGATTGCATTATGGCTGTTGAGGTTAGAGCATATTTCCTTCCACATGAGAAGCAGTACCTTTTCAATGTGAATTATCATTAAACTGCCATCAGTGAAACTGAGATTCTTTGATAACATCTTTATTTTATTTTATTGCATTAAACATAAGTTTCATGTTAGCTAAGGTGTTTTAAATGCCCTCAGAAGGTAACCACCAGATTAATGAGAAAAGTCTGAAAAATAGTCAGCATTTTGCATTGTGCTGGCAAGGCTATTCACTAGAAAAGATGTGGTTGCTTAGTTGCTATGGGAGAAAAGAAATGAAGAGAGAGGATGAGAGTGCAGTCATGGCATTGTGAGGGACAGCAGGAAAGGGGAAAGGACACAAGTAAGTGGGAAACTATAAGAAAGTACCTGTCCCTTAAGGCACAAGAAGATGGACTCAGAGGGGATTACAGGCAGTGGGGATCAGAAGAGGAGGAATATATGACAGGAGCAAGATGTTAGGGGTAGGCTGGAGTTAGTTGGGATGGGAGTCAGGAAGTAGGCTGTGAGTGCTGCAGCTGACTATATGTATAGTACAGAACAAAGTGTAAAATAGCACTTCTTCACACTGAGAATTGGGTAATGAGAAGTGATGGATCCTCTGGTAGCAGACCTGGGTCTTGCTTATTTATGTGTCTGTTTCCCTTTGGGCTTGAACTGGAGATGGTTAAGCGCACAAATCAGAAGGAGGTGAACATTTATTTTCAGTGTGATAATAAATAAATTAGAAGGCAAGTAGAAAACACAAAGGTTTAGAAATCCTCAGAGTGTAAGCCAGCCTCAAGATTGTGAAGAGAAGGGTCTGAGTCATGAGGTTCAGACACTTGAGCCTTGGCAGAGCTGCTTTCACAGATCTCAGCAGGCTCAGGTGGTAGAGCAAGAGCATCCAGAAACAGAGAGTAGTTTGACTGAAGAAGGAAGTGCACAACTCAGTTCATTTGAATTCAACATTCCCAGAAAATAATAATTTTATAGCATTATCTGATGACTCTTTGGCAGCCCCATACCTTCTCACTAAAAGATAGATCCACATAAAAGATCTGGTCTGATTTTAAAAAAAGATTGGTTAGGTCTCCTTGTTTGTAGCAGAGGACTTGAAAACCAAAGCTCAACCACATCTTAGAGTTCCTAACCTGACGGTAGTAATCCACATTATTATTTTTCAAAGCAATTTGCTATGTTAATTCAGTCTTAGAATTTTGGATCTTTTTTGAAGCTCCAGAATTGGCTTTGAGTACTTGGAATTTGCTTTAATCTTTTTACCCATAAGAAGAATTCCCCCTCTGTTTCAGAAAGGGCCCCTGCTACCACAGGAGCTGTATGGTGGAGTTTAGAAATGCCCTGAACCAGGAGATTACCTTCCAAACAGAGTAAGCAGAGAGGAGTGAGATGAGATTTAAAGAGCACAAGTAGATCTGTTTTGTTAGTCTCAGGGTTTATAGGCAGGGTGCCATGTCCCCTGTGTCTGTCCAGCCTTGTCATCTCCAGCCTGGCATATTGGAGATTATGTGCATGTACATATTAATCTGTGCAGACTCAGTGCCTGAGGGAACGGTGTGTGTTTGTGTGTTTTTGTCTTTAATTAAAGGTGGCATCTCTGCTTTTTTGGGTAGGTGAAGAACAGAGCTAAAAAGAACTGATTAAATGGAAAGAAAAAGGAGTAAAGGATGTTGATATTTGAGGCAAGTACATCTAAAGCCTCAGCAGGTGAGGAGAAGGGTGAATAATGGGGGCCAAAGAGTTCACTGTACAGTAGAAGCCTTAATCAGAATGTGTAGATGCCCCTGCTTTGCTAAATCAGCAGCTCCTCTTGGCTGGGGAAACTCCTTGGCCCTTTTCTGTAGTTTTTGCCCCAGTACCACACTCTGGTGTGTAGGGATAACTCTTTGATCCCCAGGCAGTTTGTGGAGGTATTCCTGGTGTGTGTGTGGCTGTGCATATGGCTATCATATAGAGGAGTTAGCATCAGAAAACTTTGCTCCAGTTTTTAAGATAAACCACATTGATGCATAATCTCATAGGCTGCATAGTGTCATTTGGGATGAGGAAGCTTAAAGCTTTGGGATGCTTTAAGGCAGTCTTATTTTACTCCTGCTTTGGTATCATGGGGCTGGTTGGCCACTTCTAGCACTGATCCCACCACCTGGAACGTCTGGCTGTTCCTCTCTGCATTCTCCCCTGTGGCACAATGGAAGAGGAGTGGAGAGAACATGTAAGTCCCATCGAGGTAACATAGAAGTCTCTGCCTTGATCCTGCACTGTGTGATCCATCCTCTGAAACAGATGGAAAGGGGAGGAGGAGCATTTCCAGCTCTTTATTGCCTTTTCCCCTCCAGTGTAGAAACTCCCATTTGGCTACACTGTGAATCTTATTTTCACAATTAAAGATGGCCACACATTAATACTGTGATTAACACATAACTAAGCCTTGACTCTCCTGGGCTGGCCTAGCTCTTTCTTTTTTACATGTTGGAGAAAGTAATGAGTTTTCCAAAGTGATGAGAAAGAGATAAGCAGTAGTGTTATTGTATCTTGGCAGCCAGAAGATGGATGTGGAAGAAGCAAAGAAGTATATCAGTGCTATATTTGGGAGGGGTGACAGCAGGACACAGTCTTGGACTAAACTTCAGTTTTGGTTGTTTTGAATGACCTTAAGGATTACAGGATGTGGGCTTTAATATGAAACAGGTGTCTGCCCCAGTGTGCTTTATAAGGCATGCACAATGAAATCTTAAACTGAAATAGAAGCAATCATGTCTTCACAGCTACACAAGCAAATGCTACTATTCATGGAGTGCTGCTGACCACAAGCGTGCACTTGTAGAAGCAGCAGCTCACCCCCCAAAAAAATCCCCCTGCTCTTGAATGTGAGATAAAATGAGGGAGAGGCTGGGAGACACAAGTTAAGTTGGAGAAGAAGGTTGAGGAACCTAGGATACCTTGGGTTTGTACTAAGAAAAGGAAGAAAGAGATGGGTATTTCAAATCTGTAATATGCTGTAGCTTGGGACTGACAATTTTGTATTTCTTCCCCAAATTACAGAATAAACACTTTTGTAGAAACAAAACTTTACATCAGCTACCAGGTTTATCAGTGATATCTTGCTCCTTTGTCTATTAATTTTGAATTTGTAATTTCAAGAAGTCAGAATATGGTAGTGATCACTCACATATCTTGGAATCAGAGAATCATAGAAACATAAAATAGGATGCAAGGCACTTTAAAGACCATCAAGTTCCATACCCTCTGCCATGGGCAGGAACACCTTCCATGGACCAGACTGCTCAAAGGCCCCATTCAACTTGGCTGTGAATACTTCAGGGGTGGGGCATCCAAAACTTCTCTGGGTAACCTGTTCTAGTCCCTCACCATCCTCAAAGCAGAGAATTTCTTACTATTATCTCATCTAAACCTGCCCTCTTTCAGTTTAAAGCCATTCCCCCTTGTCCTGTCACTACATGCTCTTATAAGTCCATCTCCAGCTTTCTTGTAGGCTCCCTTTAAGTACTGGAAGGCTGCACTTAGATCACCCCAAAGCCTTCTCTTTTCCAGGATGAACAGTCCCAATTATTAATTCTCGAGCTTGTCCAGGTTCCTCTGGATGCCATCCTGTCCTTCAGGTGTGTCGACCACACTATTCAGCTTGGTGTCATCTGCAAATGTGCTGAGGGTGCACTTGATCTCTGTTTCTGTCATTAATGAAGGCATTAATAACACTGGTCCCAATACAGACGCCTGATGGACACCACTTATCATTGATGTCTATCAGGGTGGTCATCCATCATGAGAGTAGGGTAATTAATG